ACACATTAAATCAGGGATTCTGTTTTGTTTTGTAGGAAATTACATCAATAGGTAAAGTATTTTATCGCTAAACAAACAGTTCGCTAGGCAGAAAAAACTGTACTTTTCTTTAAAACACATTTTCGTTTTTTTATAACTTGCAATTTGCGTGGACAGTGGACAGAAACACAGCTTTAGATAACAGCTTCTCTTTAGCAATTAACTCAGTCCAGGGCTTTTAGCAATAAATCCTTTCACGATCAATTATACCAATAGTAGGGTAAATAATAAACATTTTTTAATGATTAATAGAGAAAATGGAGGTTTTAAAAAGGGCCAAACAGTAAAAATAGACTAAACAATACTCATACAATCTTTCAAAATGCTTTTTAGAAAAAGTCCGGAAATGCATCAAAAACACCTTGCCGGGAAAAAAAAAAGTAGGAAACTCCTTGGCAAAAAATATAAAGGCAATATTTGACAAAAATGTATATATATATGATACTGTTCAGGTTCTGAGCCTTGCTGTTAGAGATATTTAGAAAGTTTAAAAATGTAACATTTTAAAACTAATGACTGCTTTAATGACATATGAAGGTCAATTTTTATTGATGATTGTTTTTAATGAAGTGACAAGAGTTCCATAGATTAATCATGACAGACCTAATCCAGTCCTCTGCATCCACACGGTGGCAACACCAAGAATGCTTTTGCAGAACAAACAATGGCCAAACAATGGCAACAGTCACTGTAACACATTGCATAAGCCAGCCAAACTTGTGCAATATGTGCAGAAGACTTTCTGCAAAAATAAGAGGAACAAAAAACCCAAAACAAAACAGATGAAGAACAGATAATAAACAAATCAGAGAATCGCCACAAACAAGAATAAAAACACAAGAGACACACGTGTTGTTCTGATTTGATGCTGTGATCACAGTGCATACACACACACACTCTTCAGTGGTGTCAGATTGGCTCCCTTTGGGAGCGGATCAATAAGGCCGATTGGGAACAATTTAAACAAGCACTAATCCTGCGCTCCCAGGAGGAGGAGACCACCCACACCAGCCTCGTCCAATTAATCACACACACTTTGAGCTGACACACACTCATCGATCATCCCAACATCCTCGGTCTCTCTCACACATTCAAGCAGTGACAGAACTAAACAGACTTATGCAGCACAAAACATATAAACAACAACATTTTCTGTTTAGACTACTGTTTAGTGAGGAATGATGCATTCTGTCATCACCAGCATGCTACAAACTAGAGGTGGGCGATACGGCAAAAATATCGCAATGCTTGAGGACTTGTTACGCAATATTTAATTTTCACAGTAATCACAATATTTCACTTTTATGAGCTGTGATTTATACTGCACTATATCCAACTAACCAGGCCTTTATTGTGAGGGTCAATCTATGGAAATATCCGTTTTTGTGTCCCTAGTGTTTACAGATGTATTACACTTGAAAAACATGTTAGGGTTACAATTTATTTATATTTTAAAATAAAACAATATGTTATTTTGACAATAACGCCTTCCTGAGCCACCAATTTAGCAATACTGGCTTTTAAATCAATCATATAGAATTCTACACATCACAGAAGAGCTCATCCTCACAGTCATGTGTAAAGGCTGAGGCCATATTTTGAGGTAAAAAACGTTTTTCTGCAATTTTAACGGCAAAAATCTAAACATGACTATGGAATATATGATTTAAATAACAGAGGAAACAAATGCCAGATAAATATTATAAAATATATAATGAAAGTTGTCCCCAGGAGTCGTGTCACTGGTGTTACTGTGTAACAAAAAATCTCTTATTTTAAAATAAAAGTCACACTGATGACATCACTTGACTTCCTTTTACCGAATTTCTGAAGATCTATGAAGAAAAGCTCATGGTGAGTCCACTGTGTCTTTCAGTTATCAGAGATTCTCATTTGACTCATGATTTCATATGAAGCTTTTGGCTGAAGTCACTGGTGTGACCGACTTTATTCTGAGGTAATTGTGAAAAACTAGAATACAAATGGATTAAACTAGATATTTTAGTGGATATTCCATGATTGACAACATGTGGTTTGATGTTCTGTAGCAGACATTTTGTAAAATGCATTTTTCATTAAAAATGTCACCGTCTCTTTATGTGTAACACCAGTGACTCCTATGAACAGATAAAAAAAGTGGATGTTTCTGTAGAACGACTCGTAAAACATGAGTCAAAGTTCTTTGTAGTGAAATTCCACCAATTTATCAACATGTCTGCATAACTCAATTTTTAAAATATAATCAATCAGACCACACTGGTGGTGACAGGAACCAGGCGTCGCAATATCTGCAACACGAATATAGCCATTAATTTTATTTACAACTCAAAATGACCAGTGAACCCGAACGTGTCTTCTGAGATTTTAGATGGTATTCTGTGGTTGGTATAGCATAAAACAATGCTGTCCTCTATGCAGCAGACTAGGGTTCGATTCCCTGCTCGGGAGAGAACACTGTGCTATATCAATAAGAAGCTCCCTTCACCCTTCTCTGTAATACGAATAAAGTGTAAGTCGATCTTAATAAGAGTGTCTGCCAAAGGCATAAACGAAAAGGTTAATAATGGTGAAAAAGTGGTAAATGCAAAAAAGAAGCCACTATTTTCCATATATTCCAATGCATCTTGTGTATCTATCTGCCCTGAAATTACATGAAACAAAATGTTTTATATTTCACATTAAGCCACTTTGAATGACTGTTTACATCTTAATTAACTGATTCCATTGGTGGAATTTCTTTTACGTATTTGCAATATCTGCAATATAATGAATCTTAATGACAAATATCGTCATGTTGCCCACTTCTACCTACAAACCAACGCACCCGAATGTATTCAGAGCAGAGCAGTCCAGGACCAGATGAATGTAGAGCATGAAGTCTAGTCAGTCCATTTATTAAGAACAATAGAACGAAGTCACTAACATCAGACCAGTGAAGCAGTGTACAGTACAGGATGGGAAACCGCTGGCTCCAGTGTAACAAACTGTGTAGGGTATGGAGGAGATTCAAATAGGTTTGTGTGTGTGTGTGTGGGGTAATTACTCAGCACATTCCCCCTGTCAGCTGTTTGAGCTAATCTGAAGAAAGGGAACACGTTACGCACATCTGCTGCTCGGCAACATCTGCTCTGCTCACCAAGCAGAACACACAACACTCTGCGCATGCGTGTTCATGAGCGAGGGCACGACTGATAGGAAAATTGTTGCCAATACTTATTTTATGCAGCCAATATCCCAGTTAATATAACTTTATATTAAACTGACCAACAGTTTGAGTTAAAGAGTGGTTTAAACAGTGTTTTACTGACTAATATGACTGTCAGTTCAGGTAAATATTAATAGTAATTGTTTTGGCAAATTTCATAAATTCATGAAGTCGTAAATAATATATGTATACAGTACTGCCAGAGGGGAGTCTGCATATTAGCTATTCTTTTCTTATTTTTCAGTTTTTTTCATATACACGTTTAGTTGCTATATGATCTTCATGCTAACACCATAACAGTGACATGAGCAAGCAATAAAAACGAAACTAAAAACATCAGCTGCTAGTGGCGGAGCGCTACGCAGTGCAATGTGATGCACCACTTTTAACACGTCACTCTGCCATGCCGCCTGAAAATGGATAAAGAAAACTCTGTCAGGAAGTGGAGAAAAGGAGGGATCTCTACGACCCTTTCCATAAACATTATAAAGATGTCAATGGAAAGGGAACAATTTGGAGGGAAAGTTCTGGAATTTAAAGTGAATATTGTTTGTTTTGTGTCACAGTGTGTTTACATGCACTTAAGATTTTTTTTTGTCAGTAATCCGATCAACGCGATTACATGCACTTGAGTAATCAGATAATGGGAAAACTCTGAGTCTACATGAGTCAGACAGTAATCAGATTTCTGCCTTGCAACCAGCCAATAAACTCACAGAAGAAGACGTGATGTAAGCGCAACATAAACTCAAACTTAATGTTGCGGCTTTTAAGAAAAACATTGGGCCACTTTATCTGAAAATATGAACATACATCATCTAGAAAATAAAAAAATATTTAAATCTTTCGTTTCATCGTCGCTCCGAAACTGTTTGCTAAATCATGGTCTATTTTTCGTTTTCTATTTTATGTGCAAACTGAGAAATCTGAAAGAAATCAGAGTAAGAGTTTACATGCACTGAGAAATCTGATTACTGAGCTAAAATCTATCTCTCTTTATCGGATTTCATATTCAGATTTCTAGATCGGAGTGTGCTGTTTACATGACCATTTGAATAATCGGATAACCGCAGAAATTCGATGATGATTGAATATACACACTTAAGGATTCTCTCAACTGGTCAGCCAATTAAGGTCAGCAGATTCAAATGGCTGCCCAACACAATAGTAAAGCTAGGATACAGACTTGCTTTAGCTGAATTCTTGAGATATTTTCTAATAGATCCGTGGCTTGTTTGCGTTTTGACTTGAGGTGTGCACTTGACGTTTTTAGTGCAGATATCCTGAAGACTTTGCAAAGTAATGCACTTCATCACGTTTAAACACATGTCCAAGGACACGGTGTAAGGGTGAGGAATAAGGTTTAAGTTTGTAGGCACTTTAACACTGGCCAAAAGATATTTCGGCCAGGATCTATAACGTGTGCCTGTCTGTGCTTGCACTCTTCTTTATTATGAGTATTAAAACTCCAAATTTTACTATGCTCTCCAACAGAATTTGAACAAACGTGAGGCAAACTAAGAATCCAAAAAGAGACGACCAAAAAAAACATCCTGTGATATGATTAAATTGAAGACACCTACAGAACGAGGACTAAATGTATTGATTTTGAGTGCTGCTGTTGCGGTGGCCTCCAGGAGTACGGTGGGGCAAGTATGGTCAAGAACCAGTGCAGAATGGAAGTAAGCACACCCGCTGAGAGAAGAGCGATGAGAGAGAGAGAGGAAGAAGAACCAGGGCCAGGGGGCGCCGTTACCTTCTGCTGTACCGGAGAAGCCGTCTGCTTTGAAGTTGCTAGTGCTCTTCTTCCTGCGGTGCTTCTTGCGGTTAGCGTGCGGCGAGGGCGGAGGGTCCATCTTTGGACTGGTAGTGCTGGATATACTGGGACTGGAACACACTGAGTCCCCCAGACCAGTATCTACAGCAGAGAGCAAGAGAGAGATGCAGAAAGAGACAGACAGAAAGACAGAAGAGACAGCAGAAGAGAGAAAGACTAACGTAAATGATCAAGTTTCAAAAGCCCAACCACAGCATTAGCCCAGAAACCAGTGCTCTACATTATATGTCCAAAAGTATCTTCTAATTGGTGGATTTGGCCATTTAAAGCACACCACCAAAGACATAGTGTAATGGGAGTTATTGCAGCCTATTAATACCCTTGATTTTGGAAGATATGCCAGATGTGCAGGCGTCTGGATACTTTCGGACATACATTGTAGTGAAGGTGAATGAGCAGCAGTGTTAATATCAGGCTGTATCAGGCTGGCATTTGGCCGGCTTCTCCGGCTCGGGCTATCAGGAGGCGCCTTTCACTCATCTTGCACAGAGCTGACAGCTGTGACTAGCGGCAGAATAAAATAACATTCGGATCACATCAATATCCGGCCGGCTGGGTGGGTCGGGGTGGGGGTGCAGGCTGGCGCTGCGCGTGGCCCCAAGGACACTCATAACTTATTTTACAACCGTTTAGTCTCTGCTCAAGTGGAAAACGTGACAACTTATCTCCGTCGACAGCACGCCGTCCGCAGCGTGCAATTAACCACCTCCGTCTGAGCACGGCGCGCACACATGCCACGCTAGTTTACCTTTTCCCCCCTGTATGATCTTTTCCACTGTCTTCTTCCAATGCCTTTGTTTTGCTGCTGGAGCACAGGTCTCTAGATTTCTATCTCTAGCCTGGCTTTACTCTACTGGAGCAGATCAAATAGTAGACTGTTGTGTTTTTGGAGGGCTCATGACAGGAAGCAGCCGGCCTGATTCCCCTCTGTGGAACAGATCTCGAGGGGCTGATCCTGAGGGTCTGAATTCCACATTATCTTCAGTTTAAAGACACCTGCTACACACAAATGGACAACAAAGGCCACTTTGACAGAGCCTCACGAGAAGGCTAAGTTGTTATCTTCCTGTCTAGTATGCTTGAATGAACGTGCACACTGAAGTTAAGGGAAACTAATCAAGGTAGCAGTTAACACACCTCCTCCGGTGACGTTTCAGGGGTGGGGTTGGGGGCAGAGAGAGAAGTCATTGTGAATAAGAGAGCGAGAGAATTGAGAAACACAAAGAAGACAGAACAGTGGATGGAAGAGTGATGCAACTAAATGAACAACCAAAAATTCAGGACACACTGGGGTGAAAACCCAATCCAAAAACCAAGGATCGGATTTTTTTTTTATGTGCCAATGAAGAAAATCTTTTAATTTACTTTGTCTTTTATTTGCGCCTTTTAACTGCAATGAAAAAATAAAAGATAATGAAAAAGTCTACTAAAAGTCTTTTAAAAGAACACGACTGCGAATAATCAAGGAATGAGAAATGATGCGCAAGGTTTGGCTATAACAATTTGCTGGTTCTGACCAGTCCAGGTCAAATTTTAAACGCTATTTCTAAATCACATGATGTGGTTTGTAAAGCATTTTATTTTGGCATTATGTTGTAGGCCTATTTACAGGAACAGTTCAGTGAAATATCAAATTTATGTGATTTTCTACTTACCCCAAATGCAGTCGAACAGCCAAGACATGCTTGCTGTCAAAATTTTGCTTCTGTACTTTAGAACTGGAGTTACAAGGCTAATTTTACTAATAAACACTTCTAGTTAATAATTTCCAAAACCATTTCCATCAATAAATGCCCAAAAATATCTCAAACCGAATTCAGCAAGACTCACAACAAATTATAAAAACAAAACAAAACCATAAACAAACTTCTGTGTAGCTAAAAGAAGGGTCAGCCATTTAGGATAACTGGAATCACTTCTTCTGTGAGCGTAATTTAGTATGATTCTGGGCAAGATGACCAAAGACAGGCCTAAGAGAATTTACATATTATTAGAGAATTAACAGAGATGCACTGCAGGGTAGCGTAGGTACAGAAGCTAAGCGAGTGCACTCAGAAAATCCTGATTATAAAGTTGAAGACAGCATTTTTGGTGCAAATGAGCCTTAATCATACATGTTTTAACCTTTATATATATATATATATATATATATATATATATATATATATATAAAAGAAATGCAATAGTTTGTTGCTGGACCCAACACTTACCCCCCTAGACCCACCTCTTAGCACAAAGCTGAGGATAGCTCCTTATCTGAATTTTCCATTCCACCTTAAATGGCACAACAGTTACAGAGTCAATAGAGTCTGGCTGCAGACACGCTCTCTCAGCCAGATGCACTCTCAGCCCCGGTGACGTCACGTGCACATGCACTCTCTGCCACCACGGCAGAAGCCGCCCAACGGCACGGTGACTTTTGGCGGCTGCTGCTGCTTAGCGATATCATCACTTAATCCATTTTTCATCCATAACACAGCTAGAGGATTACATTCAATGTACTTCCTGCTGAAAAAAGCAATAGAAAACATTAAAAGTGTCTGTTGGTTCCTGGTGGTTTTCGGCAGTCGCTAGTGGTATTCTGTGTTTTCCTACTGGGTTCATATCACAGTTTAAAGGATTCAAATAATTTAATCAGGCGTTTTGGCACTGGTTCCAGATACATTTGATTGTTCCCTAAAGGTTTCTAACGGCAAACATCAAGCCGATTCCTGTTAAGAAGCAAAACCATCAGGTTTAATTCGTAACGGCTCTTATCGTCTTCAGGATGGCTTTCATGAGTTTCAACAGTAGCCTGTTTTTTTTCTGCAAATAAACCCGACATTACGTCTTAACGTCTTGGTAGGTTTTATTTTGAAAGTTTCCATCACCTTATGATGAGTATGACAACGTTAATATATTTTCAGTGTAGCTCTCGTTGCCCAACAGTTCGTGTTTCGCTGTTTTTCCTCATAAAACCGACAAAACACTGTCGTGGCAGAGCGGCACTGACGTCATCAATAGGCTGGCGGTGCATGTCAGACTGAGAGAGCCAGACCTTTCTCCACAGAATGGCCATCACAGTAACTTAACTGCACAGCAAAAGTTTGCATGTGTCTGCGTCTATAGAAAAGCGGTGGTAAAGCACCAGACTCACTGTAGATTTCTCTGTTCTGTTTTTCGCAAAATGGAAGGCAATACATTTTCATAGGCTTAGTGTTATTCGTGTAAGGCTTACAGTAAGCGTACCTTAGTTATTACTGCGCCAAAGTTATGTACCTGTAAAGTTTCACAGCTCAGCTGCTCTCCAGCCTCCTAGACTCTAAAGTCGGATTAGTACCTGAAAGCAGGATGTTACCCTGAAATAATATATTTCTTAAAATATTTTTTACATGGCTTATCAATGTAATCTGAAGCAAATATATCAAGCTTCTGGCATGTATTTGTGGAAACAGTTTTGGTGACCATTTATTTCCAGTGTTTGCTGGCACTGTTAGCCCGGCAGCTCGACTTCTAAACCAAAGAGGCAAAACTTGGACACCAAAATGTCGTGGTCAATTCACTGCATTAGTGGTAAGTAAAAAATCATGTAAATGAGATATTTTGCAGAAATATTCTTTCAACCTTAAAAAAAAGGAAATGGTATAATTCTTTGGTCAAAATCTTTAACTGAGCCAAATCTGAAGGCATTGTTTCTGGCCATCTCCGTTAGAAAACTTTCAGTGGCTGTCACTGGAGGAGACAACAGGCATGGTCTCATCAGACAGAATACACAGTAGACACAAGGCTCTGCTGTCATCAGCCCGGGCTGTGGTGCATTAAAATAGGAGCGTTACTGAACAGGCTGAGCTTTATAGCTAGCCAGGGCGGCTGTTTGCCCCAGAGCAGAGAGCCCGAGCGGCGGGACGACCTCTGACACGCAGCCTCTGATCCTACTCCCCCGTGCAGCGACACACGGCGGCCCAGAATCAAAGAGACACCCTCATTACTCCTGCCATAATTAAAGCAGAGAGGGCAACGACAGGCACGGACCCCAGGCCAGATGCATTATTTTGGTGCAGGACTGGGCGCTCTGGGGCAAGCTGGCTTAAAGAGGAGAAGACGACAGGGGACATCACATTTGCGTCCCCCACAATCCCCAAGAGAGGGAGGGAAGGAAACAGAGAGAGGAAAAAAGACAACATAAGACAGAGAAATACAGACACGGGGGCACAATACAACAGCTATACTGAGCAACATCCTAAAATCAAGCACAATGATTTTACCCATTATTAAGATTTGACATGATCTCACTAATGCTTTCAAAGGAAACATAAGCAAAACTGGATATCACAGAGCAATCTGGGAAAGAAAAAGGACATTACTACGCTCCAATTTAAACCACTGGCATCGGTAAACTCAAGAGTAGTTGGCTTTTGCAGACGCAGTTTAAAGGAGCAAAACGGCTGCATACAAGAGCCCTCGATTGGTTTGATGCTTGTTATGCAGCAGGTCAAGGCACTGAACCTGGAAACTGTTTGGAGACAGCAGAACAAAAAGACTCAGCAGATCAAAGTAATCCTAATGTCATTATGTCCATAAACCTCTCTCTACCTGTCTCTGCCATCATAGGAGGGAAACGACATCAGCTAATTAACACAGATGAGATAAATGCTGGCCTTTAGATAACTTTAGCTGATGTTATCAGCTGAGAGATAAACAGTCGTCCCCCTAACGGAGCTGCAGACAGCCGGTATAACTTCACTCTCTGTGTCTGATTTAAATGACGTTTGAATGGAGAAACATTAACATTAAATATCAGACTGAATGTTGTGGGTCGGAAAATGACGTCGTGTTTCGACAGACGTGATTCTGAAGTTTGCTAGTGCAGTTAGTTCAGAGTTCAGCTCCAGTCCTCCAACCACAATTGTGGTTTCCTGGTTAAAATACCTGATATTATTAGCTAATTAATCCCTTCTTGAGCTGAACGAGGTGAACAGCAGAGAGAGACACTAAACTATACAGTGCAGCGGCTCCAAGCCTGGAGTGAAAACACTGAATTAAAGGTCTGTGTGTCTCTCGTCTCTCGGCTTCTGTCTTGTCTCGCAGGTGAATCGTTCACA